TCACCTTTCTCAGCCTTCATGGAATTGAAGTGAGTTAGGGTCTTGCTGTGGATTAGGCTTTGGCTTAAAGGGATGTTGTGGCTAGTTTGATCTTCTATCTAGGCAACTAAAATATTCAATTTTTCTCCATATCAGACATAAGGCTCTTTTGCTTTCTGATATGGTTTGGATTTGTGTCCCCACCCAAATCTTATGTCCAAATTGTAATCCCCAGTATTGGAGGAGGAGCCTGGTGGGTGATTGGATCATGGGAATGGACATCCACCTTGCTGTTCTCATGACAGTGTGTTCTCACAAGATGTGGTTGTTTAAAAGTGTATAGCACCTCCCTCTTTACTCTCTTTCTCATGCTCCGACCCTGTAAGACATGCTTGCTTTTTCTTCACCTTCCACCATAATTGTAAGTTTCCTGAGGCTTCCCCAACCATGCTTCCTGTACAGCCTGTGGAACTGTGGGTCAATTAAATATCTCTTCTTTACAAATTACCCAGTCTTAGGTTGTTCTTTATAGCAATGTGAGAATGGACAAATATATATAAAAAAAATTGGTATCTAGGAGTGGGGCATTGCTATAAAAATACCTAAAAATGTGGAAGTAGCTTTGGAGCTGGGTAATGGGAAGAAGTTGGAATAGTTTGGAGGGCTCAGAAGAAGACAGGATGATGAGAAAAAGTTTGGAACTTCCTAGAGATTTGTTAAATTGTTGTGACCAAATTGCTGATAATGATATGGAAAATGAAGTTCAGGCTGAGTTGGTCTCAGATGGATAAGAGGAACTTCTTGGGAACTAAAATAAAGGTCACTCTTGCTATGCTTTAGCAGAGATGGGTGGCATTGTGTCCCTGCTCTAGAGATCTGTGGAACTTTAACCTTGAGAGTGATGATTTAGGGTATCTGGCAGAAGAAATTTCTAAGCAGCAAAATGTTCAAGATGTGTGTATTAGTCCATTCTTGTGCAGCTATGAATAAATACCTGAGACTGGGTAATTTATAAAGAAAAGAGGTTTAATTGATTCACAGTTTTGCATGGCTAGGGTGGCCTCAGGAAACTTAAAATCATGGTGGAAAACATCTCTTCACAAGGCAGCAGGAAAAAGAATGAGTGCCAGCAGGAAAAATGCCAAACACTTATAAAACCATCAGATCTCATGAGAACTCACTATCATGGGAATAGCATGGGGGAAACCACCTCATGATTCAATTACCTCCCACTGGGTCCCTCCCATGACATGTGGGGATTATGGGAATTATAATTCAAGATGAGATTTGGGTGGGGCACAGCCAAACCATATCAATTTGGCCTGGCTACTTCTAACAGCATGTGGTCATATGCATGACCAAAGAGATGATCTGAAACTGGAACATATTTAAAAAGAAAGCAGTGAGATGTTGGTCACCACTTGCAGAAGTCTGGCCTACAGACCCTGACTCAATGATGGATGAATGAATGCACTCTCACACCATTACAGTGATACAAGTGGGGTAGGGATGGCCATTGGCTGCTTTCAGAGAGCAAAATGCAACCAATCGATGAAGACTCCCTGTTCATCCACACTTGTATTCCATAGACGTTACAATAGAGGTTCTAAGTTAACACACTTGTGAATAATTAACATGGTTAAGGGAATGGTATTATGACTGATAAAAGCTTTAGGTTCCTGGGCCCAGAGTAAATACCATTAATAGGTAATTCCTCTTTCATCCTTCCCAGAGGGCACCCAGCACAAAATTAACACGAGTAAACAGAGTGGAGACAAAGGGATGTGGGGTAAGCAGACTTAAATTTGGAAGGACTTTGATTGGCTCTCTTTCTTATGCTAATGTTAATGAGGCAGCTGCCTTCAACCTGCCTCAATAAAAACTTTTGGCCTTCCAAAAGTTTAGAGATTACACTCTATAGCTTTTCCTAATAGTTAATATCTTGCCAGCCACCCCGAGTGAATATCAACAAGGCAGAGCATAAAAGTTTAGAAAGTGTGCAGCCTGACCATGTGATAGAAAAGAAAAACCCATTTTCTAAGGAGGAATTCAAGCCAGCTGCAGAAATTTACATAAGTAAGGAGAAGCTGAATGTTAATATCCAAGACAATGGGGAAAATGCCTTGAAGACATTTCAGAGACCTTACAGGCCTGGAGGCCTAGGAGAGAAAAATGGTTTCGTGAGCCAGGCCCAGGACCTCACTGCACTGTGCAGACTTGGGACATAGCACCCTGCATTGTGGTCATTCTAGCTCCAGCCATAGCTAAAAGATGCCAAGGTGCAGCTCTGGCTGTTGCTTCAGAGGGTGCAAGCCCTAAGCCTTGGTGGCTTCTATGTGGTGTTATGCCTGCAGATGAATAGAGGGCAAGAGTTGAGGCTTGGCAGTCTCCGCCTAGATTTCAAAGGATGTATGGAAGTGCCTGGACATCCAGGCAGAAGTCTGCTGCTGGGGTGGAACTCTCATGGAGAACCTCTGCTAGGACAATGCAGAGTGAAAATGTGGGGTTGGAGCACCCACACAGAGTCCCCAGTGGGGCACTGCCTATCGAACTATGGGAAGAGAGTCACCATCCTCAGACCCCAGGATGGTAGATTCACCAACAGCTTGCACTGTGTATCTCAAAAAACTGTAGGCACTCAATGCCACCCTGTGAAAGCAGCTGTGGGGGCTGTACCCTGAAGAGCCATAGGGGCAGAGCTGACCAAGGCCTTGGGAACCCATTTGCATCAGTGTTGCCTAGATATGAGACATGGAGTCAAAGGAGATTATTTTGGAGTTTTAAGATTTAGTGACTGGCCTGCTGAGTTTTGGACTTGCATGGAGCCTATATTTACCCAATGACTGTATCCCCATTGTATCTTGGAATTAACTACCTTGGTTTTTATTTGTTTTTTTTTTTACAGACTCTTAGGTAGAAGGAACTTGATTCGTCTCAGATGAGAATTTGGACAGTGGACTTTTGAGTTAATGTTGAAATGAGTTCAGATACTGGGAGACTGTTGAGAAGGGATGATTGTATTTTGCAACATGAGAAGAACATGAGATTTGGGAAGGGGCAAGGGTGGAATATGGTTTGGATTTGTGTCCCCACCCAAATCTTACCTATGAATTGTAATCTCCAATGTTGGAGGAGGGGTCTCATGGAAGGTGATTGGATTATGGAGATGGACTTCCCCCTTGCTATTTTCATGATAGTGTGTTCTCACGAGATCTTGTTATTTACAAGTGTGTAGCACTTCCCCCTTCACTCTTTTTCACCTGCTTCCGTCATGTAAGATGTGCCTGCTTCCTCTTTGCCTTCCACCATGATTGTAAGTTTCCTGAGGCCTCCCCAGCCATGCTTCCTGTATAGCCTGCAGAACTGTGAGTCAATTGAACCTCTTTTCTTTACAAATTACTCAGTCTCAGGTAGTTCTTTATAGCAATGCAAGAACAGACTAATACACATCCTTTTTTTTTTTTCTTTTCTTTTTCAGAGATAGTGTCTTGCTCTGCCACCTGGGCTGGAGTGCAGTGGTGTAGTGGTGCAATCATAGCTCACTGCAATCTTGAACTTCTAGGACTCAAGTTATTCTCCCACCTCAGCCTCCTGAGTTGCTAGGCATACAGTATGCACCACCACATGCAGCTAATTTTTTTACTTTTTTATAGAGAGAGCTTCACTCTGTTTCCCAGGCTGGTCTTGAACTCCTGGCCACAAGCAATCCTCCCATCTCGGTCCATTTCAGACTTCTAACCTTCAGAACTGTAAGATAATAAGTTGGTTTTAACACACTGTTTGTTGTAATTTGTTACAACAGCAACAAGAAACTAAAATAGTCACCTAGCTGGTAAGTGGCAGAGTTGGTATCTTGCGAATAGGTGTGGTAGATTCCAAAATCAGCACCCTTTCCATCACTATGGGGATGTGGTAGTTTTAAAGAAACTGTGGATTCAAAAATGGAAGGCAATAAGCTATAAAAAGCAAGAAGAGTGTGGGAGTGCTGATGATGGGGTCTACTTGCCCTCAAATAACTTCTTCCATATAGCCCAATATTTTTTATTTCAATAAAGTCATTTGGGTTCAAAAGCACTCTTTTCAAATTATTGCAGATATGTCTGGTAAGATCCAAAGATCATTGGCACTTTAGAATATATTGAGTTAATCTCAGTTTTTCTCTTATACTCATGATAACTTCAATAAAGAAATCAGAGTTTTGACAATAGTCATCCTAACTGGAATGAGATGGTATCTCATTGTGATTTTGATTTGTATTTTCCTGATGATTAGTGATGTTGAGCATTTCTTCATACACCTGTTGGCCATTTGTATGCTTTCTTTTGAGAAATGTCTGTTAATGTCTTTTGCCAATTTTTAATAGGGTTTTTGCAGTTGTTTAATTTTCTTATATATTCTGAATATTAACCCCTTGTTAGATGTAGAGTTTACAAATATTTTCTCCATTATGTAGGTTGTCTCTTCATTCTGTTAATTTAGAATATCTATTATTAAAAAAAAAGTGTTGGCAAGGATGTGGCAAAAAGGGGAAATGGTGACACACTGCTGATGGGAATATAATACAGCCACTATGAAAAACAGTACAGACGTCCCTGAAAGTATTAAAAATAGAACTGCCATATGATCCAGAAGCCCCACTACTGGGTGTATTTCCAAAGGAAACAAAATCAGTACAAAACAGATATTTGCACTTCCATGTTTACTGCAGCACTATTCACAATAGCCAAGACTTGAAATCAGCCTAAATGCCCAATAACAGATGAATGGCTAAAGAAAATATGGTATATCTACACAATGGAATACTATACAGCCATAAAAATAATGATATCCTGTCATTTGAGACAAGATAGATGATCCTGGAGGATGTCATTAAGTGAAATGAGCAGACATAGAAAGGCAAATACTACATGATCTCACTTATTTGCAGAACCTAAAAAAATGTTGATCTCATAGAAGCAGAGAGTAAAACAGTGGTTACCAGAGGCTGGGGAGGGGTGGAGAATGATGGAGAGGTTGGCAACAGGTACAAAGTTACAATTAGATAGGAGGAATGAGTTCTGGTGTTCTATTGCACAGTAGGGTGACTATGGTTAACAGTAAGGTAATTGTGTGCTAGAAAATAGCTAGAAGAGAGGCTTTTGAATGTTCTCACCACAAAGAAATAATAAATTCATAAGGTGATGGATATGCTCACTGCCCTGATTTGATCATTATACAATGTATACATGTATCAAAACACTGAATTGTACCCCATAAAAATGTACAATTATGTATCAATTAAGATTTTTTTAAAGAAATTGAAGTTTTGATTGGGTGAAGTAAAGCAAATGATTTTGAAGTATTGGCAGCACTTCAGTTTATAGGCAGGCCTTACTGCAGAGAGAGTGATGACAATTAAAAGCTTGGAACCATTGAGGGCAACAGGTATAGTATGCCAAAGACTACTCAACCTACTTCAAACTTTCCAGAGGGAGATTGACTGTACAGATGTTTTCAGATTTCTTAAACTGCATGAGACCCTCTTTATACTAGCAACTTCACTTAAACCTTCTTTTCAGAAGCCTTGCCTTTTCTCTCTCACTTCATTTGTACAACTAGGAGTCACACCTAGGAAGGTGAAGCTGTTAAACAAGTAGGGCTGGCTGGTCCTAGTCAAATTTGTGAAAGAGGCAGTTCTATTTCTCTTTAATTTGAGTAGGGACTTTGATGCCTTAATCTAGCAGGCATTTTCCAACAGAAATGTTTTTGTTTTGTTTTGTTGATCTGGAAGGTTTTGAAGGCTCACCTGGGAGGTGGCCATCACTGTACATCTTTCTCTGAGGTCAGGGTACCAATAGGAAAGAGAGGCTGGCCAGCTGAGTGGATGCCCTGGGTACTTTACTTTTTTTTTTTTTTTGACAGAGTTTTGCTCTTGTTACCCAGGCTGGTGCAATGGCACCATCTTGGCTCACCACAACCTCTGCATTCTGGGTTCAAGCGATCCTCCTGCCTCAGCTTCCCAAGTAGCTGGGATTACAAGCATGCGCCACCATGCCTAGCTAATTTTGTATTTTTAGTAGAGATGGGGTTTCTCCATGTTGGTCAAGCTGGTCTCGAACTCCTGACCTCAGGTGATCTGCCAGCCTCGGCCTCCCAAAGTGCTGGGATTACAGGCATGAGCCACTGCGCCCAGCAGGGGATTTTACTCTTATGTAGCCATTTCCCATCCTATCTCCTCACCCTGAGTAACCTCAAGGGTTTTTGGGGAAATGGAAATTAGTTTTTTCTCACGAATAAGTTAACAATGCTTTCCTTAACTCAAAAAGGAGTGTTTGGGTATGGGAATTTATCTTGGGTGGGAACTTCAAACACTCTGTATAGGGCTCCCCAATGGTGAGAAAACCTCTTTTCTCTGTTTAGCTCACTCGGAGTAGACTTTCTATCAAGAATGTATTAGAGCCTACAAAGGAAAGGAAAACAATAATATTCCTTTCTTTTTTTCTCATCGTCACTGAATGATATGGCAGGTGGAGTGGAGTCCAAAGGAAAATAGATTTCTTCCCTCCCATCCTTACCAAATATGTAGTGCTGCCTATAATCCAGCCCCATCATAGATGAACGGTTGAAAAAAAAAATCTAAAAACGTAAAAAGGGTAGTTCAGAACTGCTGATAGAGATGATTTAACAAAAGAGACAGACAAAAAAATTTTTTAACTCTATAATTATAAAGTTTAAGGCACATCCTTGGCAGAAATATGATCAATTACATGCTTATGAAAAATAAACTACCAAATATCTTAACTACAGTAGATGGATATTGCACAACATTGTCCACTGCTGTTTTGGGTATCAAATAATCAATGTTTAACAATGTTTAGCTAAACATTTCTTTAACTAAAAACATAAGGTTGAGACTCCTGGTTTTGGCTACCAAAGGCATTTGTTATCAACACTGTTAAAGAAGCTCTTTTAACTGAAGAACAAGAACTCATGCTTTGTGCTCTATCTGGTTTACTCATACCAGATGGAGGGACTGCAGAAAGTTAATGTAAAAATAGGTAATAATTTGGCATGAATCTATATTTTTTATATTTTGTAAAATAATACTTTAAAATATAGAAAAGAAACAAAACAAAGAAAAACCCAAAAGGAGTCATTCTAGGAATGTCTTTATTCTTTTTAAAATAACCAGTAACCAGATGCCTCACCCCGAGAAAATAACAAAATGGAGTAAAATAAATATCAAGAAAAATGATTTCAAAGCATGATCCAGAAGTAATAGAAAAAAAATCTCTTAACATACATTTTTGATTTTAAGCTGTATACAGAAAAGATATGCACACTTAAAAGTTTTAGAAACATCTTGTCCACAGTGCTATTTTAAGCATTCTATATATCTAAATACAGAATATTTTTCAAAAAATTAAAATATAAAATTATGTGTTCACAAGGCATGAAATGTGACATTCCAAAATGCTGATACTAAACTAGGAAAAATAACATTTCTATTTTCACAAATGACAACCTTACATCTTGAGACTACAACACTACTACTCTAGCTGTGTTTTAATCTTTGAAATTCAAAAGGCATCTTTGGATATTTAAGTTTAAGGTGCCCCATAGGTGAGTCTGAACCAGCACTGGATATTAAAGTATCCTTGTTATCTCAGACTAAGGGCATGGTTGCTGAGTGAATACAGAAGAGTGATAAATGAAATACATATAGAGAACTTCTAACATTCAAATATCAAGTTCAAATATAAATCCATTTCCCTTCAGTATGGCAATATGTGCATATGTATATGTACATATGTAAGTGTATATATATGTATGTGAATACACACAAACACACATTTATAAAATTTGTTCTCATTAGTAACACCTGACTTAAAGCTAGTTACTAATTGAAAGCAGTATTTTTGATTCTTTCCATAATCAGGTATTTCTCCTGTGAATAGTGTCTCTCTGAAGCTAATGAAAGTTCAAGATTGCAAAAAAGACTTGTGGTAGAGGATTCAAATGTGGCTACATGTTACTTAAAGCAGGACTCTTTCTAAATAGCATGTTTTCTGTTCTTGTAGTAAGAGCTGACATTATATCTTTGATTATTTCAAGACTACAAGCTGCTATTCCCGCTGTCCCACAATACGCATACAAGACCAAGAGGATGACTCAAAGGCACACATAATAATGGAAAAGTAACTGGCTGTGTTCAACTGCTTGAGGTGTGTGGGAGAGAGGAGGGATGCTTCTTTTTTCAACATTTGCCCTATCAGCTGTGTCTTCTAGAAGAAACAAATTGTGTTATAAGATGGGCCACTGGTATTAAAATGACAAATAATAAAACTCAAACTGAAAGCATGGAGGATGGCATAGGCATTGGTCTTTAAAAAGGGCCTAGATATACAAACTCATTAATATTTCATTGAAAAGGGTTTGCCTTTCTAGATCAATAGCACCTTCATAAAAAGCTTCAGTTCTCTGAGATAGCTGAGACAGAAATTAGATCTTTTCTAAATCTGAAAGACAGCATGGAATAAGGTTGTAAACTTTGCGTGTGTATACACGAAAGGATAAAAGAGAAAATGGGTAGGAAAGGAAGAACTACATCCCCTACTCCCACCTGATTTTAAGACTCTGCTTTAGAAAAATGATTTTTTGTATTTATTACTGACATCAAGGGGAGAAAAGAACTAACATTTACTGAGTACAAATCCTATGTGCCAGATGTTGGGTTAGCAGCAGCTTTGCTTATGGTAATGGGAACAAACTGTTAGGAATTTACTTATGAGTCTTCTTCATTTACATATTCTGCATATGAAATTCATCTTGTAACAAACAAATTTAAATAGTCTTATAAGTACAAGATCTCTGACCAGTGTGTTAGCTACCAGGCACTCACAAGGGAATTTCTAAATCCATTTAGCAATGGGAGCAAGCTCCTAAATTTGCCAATCACACTAACTAGGCAAGTTCAAATGTTTTATTTAAACTAGAGAAAAGGATATATTTGGCCAAAAAGCATAATAACCTAGGGAAAGTTTAGTTTCTGTATTATGATTTTACTGTATATTTTGGTAAATGGAGCTTTGTGTAAGAGCATTATTTTAAAAGTCTTTTTGAGAGGTTATCTGAAACACTAAAAGATAAATAAAATCTATTAAATTATATATACTAGCAAAGTGATTGTACTCAATTCAAAAAATACAAATTTAGGCTGGGCATGGTGGCTCACACCTGTAATCCCAGCACTTTGGGAAGCCAAGGCAGGCAGATCACCTGAGGCCAGGAGTTCCTTAAGACCAGCCTACCCAACATGTTGAAACCCCATCTCTACTAAAAAATAGAAAAATTAGCTGGGTGTATTGGCAGGTACCTGCAATCCCAGCTACTCAGAGGGCTGAGGCAGGGAGAATTGCTTGAACCCAAGAGGCAGAGGTTGTAGTGAGCTAAGATGGTGTCACTGCACTCCAGCCTGGGCGACAGAGTAAGACTCCATCTCAAAACAGGAAAAAAAAAAAAAAAAATTAGTGAATCCAGGTAATTTTATATGACCTGTATATGTTAAAGATAATAGTGTTAATCTTTGAAAATCTGTTGAGCAGAAGAGGCTCATAATGTTAAGTTTCTGGACTGAGATCAATAGACTACGAGAAGAACAACTTAGAGTCCAACTTGGCAGGAGAAATGAAACTGAGCACAGAGCTAGGAAAGTTGAAGGAATAATTTGATTTACTTTTTACTACAGTGGAAAGATGGGAGACAGGGAACCCTACAGACCTTTAAGGTCTTTTGAGCTACAAAATGTAAAAAGGAGCAAAATATTAGGACAGTTGTCAGTTATTTTTAATCAATGAAAAACCACCTAAACTTGGTTAGCTTAAAAGAAAATAACAAAAGCATCTAAAAAAGCAACTGCAAGGACAATGATGCAGGGAGAATGGGGGAAAGAAAGCCTGTAATAAATAAGGCACATCTATTTTTAAATAGTTTCAACTGTTTTCCTTCTAAAACTATATGCTTTATACACAGTGCTTTGAATGTCATTGCTCCCCAATGAGGCAGGGATACAGGCTTGAGTGTATCTTCAATATCTTGAATTCAATAGCATGAATATCTTCAGCTCTCAAATCTTCAAATTTTTTAATATCTTCTTCTTCGGCCCTTTTTTGGTCAAATAAAAAAATATCACTTTA